ATCGAACAGGTTCAATCGGAAAATTGGGAACAGGATCAAAATCTGGTCCGATCATGGTGATAAATCCGATTGAGACAAAATCGATGTAAAATTCGGTAACTGCCCGATTTTAACCAAAAACCGTGATCTGCATACTGTTTTTCAGGGTTTGTCGGGTCTTTATTTAGGGAAAAAATTAAAAATAAGATGACGAACACATCCCCTACCATTTTTCCGATCGATCAAAACTATAGCAACTCTAGTAAATAAAAAAATCTAATTACAATGAAAGAAAACAGTTTCAGTTAGAGCATGTTTGATTTGGATTGATTTCCATGGAACTTGAAAATTGATTTCCATCTTCTTGGTTTTGTCTTGTTTGATTGGTTTAATTTTCTTGGCAATTCATTTTCTTGGTTGTGGCTCACACGGTGGGAATTCCTTGATTTTGAGTTATTTTTTTATTAAAAAACAGTTTTTTAAGAAAAAATTTTTGGCAATGGAAACAAATTATATCCCCAATTATAACAAATTTTATCCATTTAATGGATAATTTTCATGTAAAACAAAGCCAAACGAATATCAAAAGATCCAAAATTTCAAAAAATTTCAAGTGGGAAATTATACTAATTAAACACAATTAATTGACAATTCCCAGTAAAACAATTCTAGGCAATTCAATTCCCAGAAATTTATTTTCTTTCCACCAAAATTTCACTCTTGTAATCAAATGGACCCTTACATTTATTCTCATACTTTGAAAGATGTATTTGTGTCTGTTTGTATGTATTGTATATGAGAGAGATGAGAGATCTGAGAAGAAACGCTGACAAGTCTTTTAACAGCCACCAAAGTTTTGATATGAAACTGAGTAATACGTTTAAGCCTCTTTTTTATGGACATTATTTGAGAACTCTTTTTTTACATACTCATTTTCAACCATATTCATACAATAAAATATTTTGCACGTAAATTCAAAACTTTTTTCTACCTTTAACCACACAATCTCATAAAAATTACTATTCAAAATATTATTTTTCCCAAACAATAGCCAAGAAACGGGCTTAATAATAGGGTTTGTATACATGGGCCATGTATCAATAACAAGTCGTGGAAATTATACCCATCACTTGTTATTTGAAAAAAATTCAGGAAATACTTTGTAATGAATTTTTTTCAACGTTTTATTTTAAAATATAGTAAAATGAAAAATGAATGAATCACTTCTCTCATTCTAGGCAAATCAATTGTGAGCTGAATAGATGCCACCAAACACGCTCCTTTCTATTTTTAAATAGATAATTAATTATGTGCGAATTTTCTCTCCAATCATGCCCCTTCCCATAGTTTTTCAGTCTAAATACTCTAATTCTTGTCGATTCGTATTCATCCCAAAAAACCTATATCGAGAACTCTCAAGAAATCGAAGAATCATATTTCACCGATCCTCACCCAAATTCACAACATTACTGTTTGTATCAAAATATATTATAAAATCATTGTTTGATCATTAATACAAGCATGATTAGGGTTTATCCGCCAATATATAAACCCTAATCACGCTTGTAAAATCACCACATTCGAACAAATCGAAGCCTTCCTTTTATAGTAATCATTGTTATTTCAAGCTTCATCCACATATGTCAATATTTCGAACTTCATCCACAATATGTCACATTATCAAAGTTGCAGTTCTCGAGTGATGTAGTACATAGTTATTCTTAGATTATGTGTTGCAATATACAACCATACGTATGAAACTGATCGACATATATAGCCTCAACACATAGACATCCCATAAGCAATGATACAGTAATTACAAAATTGAATTTTAATATTATGAAACCCAAAATATTGTGATAATTCAATGATGTATGCCAAATAATCTTTTCCACTTATGGATTACAATTTACGGTCATCCCTCCTCAAAAATGAAATAGACTTTATCCCGGCATCTAGATATCCACATGTTAAGATGAAACACAATAATTATTCACTGATGAAATGGGAATTTAGAATTTGATTCGAAATATCATATTTACTAACAAAGCTAACTCGCAGCTTGGTGAATCGTGAAATCAAAATGACAGGGAATGTGAATCGTGTATATAGATTTAGTTGTTTTTCGAATTGACATACAAATAATTGCAGCATATTCTCGAACCGAAAATCAGATATGACAAGAATTTATGAAACATTTACGTTCACAAACTGGACATACTAAGATCAGATTATGGATTTCTGCTGGAGAGACAATTTCTTGATGGCTGGACAATAAAGCAAGAATAGAAAGGTGATCAGCGCCGTTTTGCCAAAAATCATGGTTTTTTGAATTCTGTAATGTGTTTTGAAAGGGCATTAATGTTTAGAGTAATACTAGGGATAGTTTAAAATTTCGTCAGTTACAAAGACTACATTGATGTTAATTATGGTATACATTATTTTCTAAAATATTTACTATATCACGAAGTAGTAATTGGATTTTAAAAATCATATAGTAAATACTGAATTTTTATTTTGTAATCATGTAGATAAGAAAATTTTCATAACAAGTTGGGAAAATTTCATGAGAATAAGTTTAGACTATTTCAAAAATAAGAAAATAA